GTAACAGGGAAATACAGAGAGCAGAGGCAGACAGTAGCAGAGAAATACAGACAGACAGACGGAGACGGTAACAGGGAAATACAGAGAGCAGACGGAGAGGCACACGGGAAAGCAGAGACCGGCAGAGACGCAGAGAGACAAGGACAGACACCCAGAGAGAAAGAAAGTGGGAGACAGAGAGAGCGACAGCCAGAGCCTGTGACAGAAGGGCAGGGTGGGCGGTAGGTCAGTGTGCTGGGTGCAACATGAGTGCTGACCTGATCCATGGCTCCCAGGACGGAGCTGACCACGGAGAGCCCACGCTGGGTCGGCGCCTGGTGGATCGGCTTTCTGGGGGCGGGTGCTGCCGCCCTGCTCATCGCCATCCCAGTCCTCGGTTTCCCACGGCAGCTGCCAGGTGGGTGCCTTCTCCCCGCCCCCCGCCCCCTGGCCCGTGCATGCAGGGCCCAGCACACCCAACCCTCTGGGTCCTTTGGGACCGACCGGGCATGTGGACAGCTGTAGTGGGAAGCCAGGCCTTGTCCTGTAGGGTGTCCCTGGGGGCCATCCTCAGCTTCTGTCCCTTCCCTGTGGTCCCAAGAGCCGCCTGTCTGCCCTGACCCCTGCTCTGGCCCAGAGCTCAGGCCCAAGCTGGCTCTGACCCCTGTGTCCTCCCAGGCACGCAGCGCTACGTGGTCGTGAGGACATCTGACACCCACCAGCTCAAGGACAGCAGCCCCACCACCGAAGCCAGCTCTAAATTCGGGAAAGCCATTCGAGATCTGCCTCTGTAAGCACCCACCCCGCCCCAGGGACCCCCAGTGGGGGAGGATGGGGTGAAGGCGGTGGGGTCACAGCCCCCAGGCCTCGGAGTGAAGGCGCCGCAGCCAAGGTCCCGTCAGGGCTGCAGTACCTCACCTCGATGACCCTCGACTCTCCATGGACCCTGTGCTCCCAGCACCTTCTGGGGCCTGTTCTCAGTGCTGTGTCTGATGGGGCCCTGGGTGGGAGAAGGAAAGGAGTGGGAGGGTGTCTGGCCCTGGGTCTCCCTGCCCCGCCTCCCTTCCCACGGGTTGAGAGGGCTGGCAGTGCCTGCTGTGGGGCACATCACGGCTGAGCGAGCCAGGGGCCAGACTAACCGGGTTTCTGGGGCATTCTGAGAGGGCCAGCTGCCTCTCCCAGTCCCCACAGAGCAAGGGACTAGAGACCTCAGGACCAGGGACCAGGCCGCTCTAGTTCCTCCAGGGATAAGGTGTGCCAGCTCCAGGGCTGCTTCCCCAAACCGGTTTCTATTAATAGAAAGTTCTGGAACTTGTGCCCTTGGCATGGCGGTGACTGGTTCCTAGGCAAATTCAGCTCAAAACTTCCAGCGGAAAGCTGTAGGCAGGGGCAGAGGAACAAGGAAGTGCAAAGCTGCCAAGGGCCCCACCCCTCGGACCCAGTGGGGCCTGAGTGCCTGGACAGGTGGTTTCCAGGAGGGTAGACCCAGACAAAACCCGGTGACAGGCCGGCAGCCCCACCCAGGGCCAGGGCAATTGTCTCAAGGGCAGCTGGAGACCGGACTGGCAGAGGACCAGCACCCAGGCCTGCCCGGCCGAGCCCTGTATTGTCCTGGTGGGGACTCCCTCCTCACACCGGGCAGGAGCAGTCCCCTGCAGTCAGAGCCAGCAGCTCCTGCCTCTCGCCCCTGACGCCCCCAGTGGGTGCTGGGAGCCCTGGGCTCCCAGGCTGGGTGTGACCAGCCTTGGCCACTGCTGCCCCTCAGAACCCAATCCTGTGGTCTCCAGGATGAGGGGCCTGAGAGGGCTGAGGGGTTTGAAGCTGCTCTCTGGCCCCCAGGTTGGCTTAACTGGGAGAAGGGGGCCCTTCTTTCTAGTACAGCGTGAGGCTGTAACGAGGAACGGGCCACGTGTGTTTAAGTCCCATGCGTCGCGCAGGGGCTCCCAGGACACACAGGCCCACACCCAAGGAGGGGGCCTGAGCCCGCCGCCCCCACTCCTGATTCAATTGGGGAGCCACCTTCTCCAGCATGGACTTGTGGACTAGGGGCCTCTGCTGGTGGGTCACTCCTGAGTGCTGGGGACAGTACAGTGGCCCCTTTGGCACACGGCCCCTGGTCTTAGCCCAGGGCCACTCGGGACTCAGGCCCCAGGGAGGCATGGCGGCCGAGGGCAGCGGCTGGGGTTCTGTCTCCCCTTTGTCTGCTGCATGTGTCTCTCTAGTGGATGCCGTCAATGCAGTCAGTGTGTAGGTCCCACCCCCACTCCACTGGCTCTCTAACCAGCCGCCACTCACCGGGGACCTCAAGGGACAGAAACAGGTTCATGGTTCTGGGGGCCAAAGTCCCAATTCAGCCTCTTCCCTGAGGCTCCCGGTGAGAGCCCTGCCTGGTCCCTCCCAGCTCTGGTGGCCCCAGATGACCCTGGGCTTCTTCCAGCATCAGTACAGTGTCTACCTCCTTGCTCACGTGGCCACCTGTCCTCGGTCTGTCTGTCTGTCTGTCCCAGGGTGTCTTCTCCTGTTCTTACGGTGTAGGAACACCCTATTCCAGCATGGCCTCACGCTGACTGACCCCGGTTACAAACGGTCACGCTCACAGGTTCTGTGGGTTAGAACATCAACGTTTCCCCTGGGGAGATACCAACCAAACGAACTCGCTGCCACTGAGCTGAGGCTGATTGTCGGACAGAGTGGAGCTGCCCTGTCTGCGAGGTTCTGAAATTGCAGCTCTGTGCTTGCAGGAGTAGAAAGCCCGTCTTCCTCCCACGGTGCGGCTGGTGGCTTCGAACTAGTGAGCTTGTGGTGCACAGCCCAGCTTATAAGCCACTACGCCGCCCGGTCTCTGTGAAGAGGTTCCTGTCCCGGCTCGCCTTGTCTCACTTCTTACTGTGAATGGAGCAGAGGCTGGCAGGGCAAATCACCAGCTTCACCCTGCGATGCACCTCATTAGCCCACTTCCTCCCTCTCTTCCTGCCCCCTGCCACCACCACCCCCAATCCTTCTGAACCCTGTCCTTGGGTCAGTGTGGCCCTGTGGTCATTCTAAGGCTGCACACATCAATAGTTTCCTTCTTCTACTCACTGTGGGACTGAAAATTGAGCCCCAGGGGTGAGTTAGGTAAGAAGGTAAGAAGGTCACCCCGGCATTGTCTTGGAATTCCACTGGTCCTTATCCAACGAGCCAGCCTGGTCTCCCTGGAGGTTTTGAGGGCTCTTCTGCATCTTCCTCCCACTCCGTGGAAGACCGTCTGATGGGGCCGCCTTCAGAGCAGTGGGCGGTGGTGGCCGGGCACCACCTAGCTGTGGTCTCAGGGTGGGAGACCCATGTCTGCGTGGTCCCTTCGTCCAGTGCACGCATTACATCATTGCTCATCTTGCCTTCAGGTGTGGCACGTTTATGACACCTCGTGAGCGTTTAAGAACTCGCCGCCGCCGGCATAGGGCAGCGGTCATGTCAGGCTCAGAATCCCTGAGGTTCCTGGTTGCGTCCAATACGTTTTCATGACGTTGCCACCTGAGTGCGCCCCACGTTCACGGATATAGTTGCCGCGTCGGTAAATTCCTTGTCCAGACATCCTCTGCCAAGCCGCTATTGTATCTGGACAACCTCCCACCCTTCCTCCACACCCACTCAGCCCGCGCGTCTGTCCACACATCCGTCGAAGCCCACCGTTCCTGCGGGGCTGCGTCTGTAACAGTTATTTCCGGGCTGCCCTTACTGCTTGCTTCCTCCCCACACCCTCCCCGCCCTCCATCTTTCCCGGCCAACCTCTCTCACACAATGCCCTGCCCTCGCCTTCACCCACGTTCCTGAAACGTACTTGACTTCCTCAGGGTTCAGAAGTTCCCCAACGACACATTCCCTCCTGTTACTTGGTAATGTCTTCATCACCCATTGGTGCCTCTGGGTCCCTGTTTTAAGTCCTGTATTTGTCTGACTTTGGCTATTTCTGTCTGGGTCGGCTTCCGGGTGGTGGGGTCATGTTTGGGCATCTCGAGCTGTTGGCTCGCTGTAGGAAGGGCCCCTTTTAGTATGTTGGTAAAGTTAGCCTGTTTTGTTTAACAAATTCCTTCAACGTCCGTTTATTGCAGACATGCCCTAATTTCACCTTCCTGCGTAAAGGTCCGTTTTGCTAGGCCTGTGATTCTTGGTTGGCGAGTCTTCCCCTGGGTGTACATACGGCATCCACGGCCTTCTTGCCTGCGTGGTTCCTGCTGAGAACCCGGAGCTTGGTGGTATTGGAGCTCCCTCTCCTGAGCGGCTCTCCGGATTCGCCCCTGGAGTTTGGTTTGGGAAAGCTTGACCACGATGTGCCTGAGTGGTCTGCCCGTGTGCGTGTGTTGAATGCATATGTCTTCTCGCTTCTCGTGATGTGAATGGCATTTTTCTTCCAACAACTCTAACAATTTTCTCTTTGTACCCACCCCCTCTTCCTGATCTGGAATTCTGATCACACATAACTTATTCTTCATGGTGGTCCATATAATTCTTAGGATCTCTTTGAATTTCCCCACCCTTTTCTGACTGTTCCTCCATCAGATTAGCATGGATGCTTTGTCTCCGAGCTCCCTGATCCAGCCTTTCAGTGATCCGGCTCTGTTTGTTTGCTCTTCCAAAGTATTCTCGATTTCTGAACCGTCCTGTTACGCTCCTGCAGCTCCTCGCCTCCGATGAGTCCGTTCGCTTGTTCTTGTAGTCTTTCTCCGGATTCTTCCCCAGTGCTTTTCTTGCTTCCACCTGCGGCTTTCTCGATCTTGTTCTCCATCTGGTGAAGGAGTCTAAACGCCATCCTTCTGAACCCTCGTCAGGTGTTTCTGCCTCGGAAAGACCACCTTGCTCGGAGCGTTGGCCACTGGTCCGAGCCGCTCCACCCGGCTCTTCCCGGGGTCAGACCCTGTCCTTCGTCTCCCACGCACTGGGGTCTGTTCGGACTGGATCTGCAATTGCCGGTCGGTGTGTTCTCGGGCACTCACGCCCTGTCTCCTGGTGGGTGTGTGAGGCAACGTGAGAGTGCGCACATTTCTCTGTGTGCTGTTTGTGTGGCCCGGCTGAGGCTGGGTTTGGCTGCTGTCGGCTGCTGTCTGCATGATCGGGTCCCCACCCTGTCGGTGAGGCTGCGGTAGTGTGGCGGGCCACAGGTGGGCACCGTCGTAGCTTTCTTTCAGGTGGGTCAAAAGAAAGAAAATAAAGGGGAAAAAACAAGCAGGCAAACAGCAGCAAGAAAATGCCATTTAATAACCAAAACGCAGAAAAGGGAAGGGGAAGCAGAGAAAGGGGAAACTGGGAGGGGAGAGAACGGGAGAAGATCAACCGAGAGAAAAATAAAAGAGAAATAGAAAAAGTGAGCTAAGAAAAAGAAGGGTAAAAGCAGGGGCAAGGGGAAAGGTTTAAAATGAGGGCAGAGGAAGCAAATGAAACAGAAAAGCCGGGAGAGACTGGGGGCACAGACTAGGGGTCAGCCCCTCTGCCAGTCGAGTTGCGCATGGATTTGGGGGTGGGGGTGGGGTTGAGGGGTGGGACACGGGCCCTAGATGGGGTCCTGCCAGGCTGTATGTCACCAGGGGTCAGGATCAGACCTGGAAGAAGTTCAGCCTCAGATGGTGTTTATGATCAGGGTTCTTGTTTCCCGAAGAAACTCTTACAGCGTGGGGGCAGGGCAGCGGGGTACAGGAGTCCCTGTCCATCCAGGGAGGCCAGGGACCAGGCGGTCCAGGCGGTCTGATGGTGGGGGGGGGTCGGTCAGTCCACACGAGTGCCGCACCAGCCCTCCCCCAGAGTAGGGCTGTCCTGTCGGGTGGCCGGGGTGGGGTGGGTGGAGCTGGGTGGAGGGGAACAAGTCACCTGCTGCTCTGTGGGGTGGTGAGTGTGGGTGCTGGACACACGTCGGGTTGCCACTTTTCCTGTCACAGCGCAGTGCATCAGGCCGATGGCAAGAGTCCACCGTGGCCGCGCCTTGTCTGCGCCTTGTCTCCTCGCCACTGTTGTTCAGCGTCCACACTCGGTTCTCGTCCCCTCCTCTGCGTCTGCCCTCCCCTCTGGGGTGCAGGGGTCCAGGGCCAGCCTCGCCGAGGCCTTTGGGCAAACCCCGTGGCCGCCGGTCCACCACCTTGCCGGAAGTTACACTTCATACGTTTTAATGGACTTCAGCATCTTCAGTGGCAAGCAGCTCCCTCGTGCGTTAGCACCTCCAGCCTTGCAACTTGAGCCCAGACACATAGAGCCTGTCCCCCAGCTGAGGACACAAAGGTCCTCTGTGTGAGCCGCAGCTCAGCCGTGCTCCGGTGCCCCGGGCACCAGGGACTGTCACTCGAGTCCCTTGGGAAGGACTGCTGGGCCGACCTCATGTGTGTCCAGGCACTGGGTCCAGCCTGGAGGCCCTCATGCCCTGCCAGCAGCGCCTGCTGGAGCTTGCGAGCCAAAGCCTGGGTCTTCTCAGTCCTCGGCAAAGGGGTGTTGGACTTCCAAAGCCCCCCAAGTGCAAACCAAGAGGAGTTGGGGATCCAGCTCAGCCGCTGCCCCCTGCCCCACCCCAGCTCATCTACTGGCCCTACCGCGCCACCCAGAGGTGACGCAGAAGTGGGCATGGTCACCCCAAGCGGGCGTCCCTTCTGAAGCCGGGACTTGGCCTGAGGTGGAGCTGAGGTGCCACTTCCCTCCTTCCTGCTGAGTCCACACGGGGGTCCCCTCGCTCACCAGCCTCGCCCTCCTTCCCGCTGAGTCCACACGGGGGTCCCCTCGCTCACCGGCCTCGCCCTCCTTCCCACTGAGTCCACACGGGGGTCCCCTCGCTCACCGGCCTCGCCCTCAGGGCCCCCCTTCTCACTGTGGTGGGAGGAGCAGTGGCCCTGGGGGAGGCGGATGTCCTGGAAGTGGGTCTGGTGCGGCCTGACCGCTGTCTCTTCTCTGCCCTCAGCTCCGTCTGGCAGCTTCTGAGGAACCCGACGTTCACCCTGCTCTGCCTGGCTGGGGCCATGGAGGCCACACTCATCGCCGGCATGTCCACCTTCGGCCCCAAGTTCCTCGAGTCCCAGTTCAGCCTCAGTGCCTCGGAGGCTGCCACCTTGTTTGGTGAGAGACTCCTGGGGCCTGGGGGCATCCTACCCTCTTTGTGAGTTCTTCTCGGAGTGAGGGTCTCTGAGGACAGCTAGGAAGACCGGCACGGGGTAGCCCCAAGTGGGAGCTGGGCCGGGGTGGTGGTCAGTGCAGGCGGGCAGCTTCCAGCTTTGCATGGAATTCATGTTGCCGCCAGACGGTTGGGCTACCAGTGCTGGGGGCAGGCTGGCGCCTCATGAGGGCTTGGGGGACAGGCGATAACACATAGTGGCTGACTCAAGTCAGGGCCAGGCCCCCAGGGGCAGCTTCGGTCCAAGGGAGCAGGGCGGTGGGGGGGGGGCACCTTGAGGAGCTCCCTGCTCCTCCCAATGCCCTGGCACAGACATGAGTGCCTGGCGGTGAGGGTGGGAGGGCAGCCCCTCCTCAGCACCCAGACCCTGGCCTGGTGTTAGTGAATTGGGTGCCCAGTGGGCCAAGGTCTCAGGTCCATTGGCCAGAGCTCTTAGACCCAGTGGGCCAAGGTTTCAGGTTCATTGGCCAGAGCTCTTAGACCCACCCAGTGGGTGTGTTCCACGGGCAGGGGCTGGCTGGTCCCCCTGGGACTGCAGGGGTGGTCACCTCCTCTGACCCCCCACTCCTGCCAACCTTCATGGGTACTCCACAGCTCCAACGGTCAGCTCGACCTTGCCAAGGACACAACCAGAGGAGGTGGCAGGACTGGGGGTCCCTGGGCACTGGACGGCCACTCACAACCCTTTCCTCCCAGGTTACCTGGTGGTGCCCGCGGGCGGAGGTGGCACCTTCCTGGGTGGCTTTTTGGTGAACAAGCTCAAGCTGCAAGGCTCGGGCGTCGTCAGGTTCTGCCTCTTCTGCTCCCTGACCAGCCTCCTGGCCGTCTTTGTCTTCGTCCTGCACTGCCCCAACGTGCCCGTGGCCGGCGTGACCACCTCCTACCATGGGCAGTAAGTCAGGCGGGGCCTCTACTGGGGTTGTGGATGTGGGAACGTGTGGTGGGGGGCTTCACTTATGTGGAAACACCTATATGGGAACACACCTATGTAAAGGCTCCCCTGTGTGGTGACTCACCTGTGTGGTGACTCACCTGTGTGGTGACTAGCCTATGCAATGGCTCCACCTGTGTGGAAAACCTTGTGGGAACACACTAGCATGCAGTCTCATCTGTGTGCAGACTCCCCTGTGAGGGAACCCCTGTGGGAACACAGTTGCATGGAGGCTCACCTGTGTGCAGGCTCACCTGTGTGGAAACCCCTGTGTGGAAACACGGCTGTGGTGAGCGAGCGGAGGGCGGGCAAGACCTGGCGTGCTGACAGACTGCACCGCCACACCGCCGGCTGCGTCGATTACGCCTCGTTCGTAACTGGCACCAGGTCAGCCTTTAAGGGAAGGTGGGTGCCTTCTTAGCTCCGCACTCTCAGTCTCCCCATCTGTGCGTGGATGACCGCCATGTACTCCTGGGTGCCCCTGAGGCTTGTCTCTGCGTGGACGCAGCCGGCAGCTCTTTGAGCTCGGAGCGTGGAGGAGCCGCTAATGGCAGCCTCACCCCGCGGCCTACACTGGGAAGTGCCGCATAGGTGGGCCTGCCCTGCGGAGTGCTGGCAGAGGCCAGGCCCTGGAAACTGCCTAGTGCCCGGCCAGGCGGGCTGGCTAGGCCGCAGCACATCCCACCGTGTGCACTGTGCGGGCAAAGGACAGAGAGCTCTTTCTGAGCCACGTGCCCAGGTGCTCTGCCAGGCAGAAAAGGGGGCCAGGGGCACGGTGTGCACCCTGTGTGCTTGCAAAAGAGGAAGGGTATGCACGTGCAGGTGTGCTTCTGGGATCCAACAGGTGCACACCCAGACATGCCCGTCTGCTGCATGTCTCCAGCCCCCTCCCCGCTGAGGCGCACGCTGCAGGGCTGGGCTGAGAGCTGGAAGAGGTGTCTCCCCCAGCGTTCTGGTGTGGTGGGAGGGGGGACTGGTTGGAGCCTCATCGCTGCATGCACATGCAGGACCCCATCCGACAGGTTAGCACCAACTGCTCCCTCACCCAGTCGCTGGCAACCCCGACCACCCGGCGGCCCCACGACAAAGACCTGGCCGTGTGCTCTGTCCTCCAGGGTCACTGGTGTGGGTGTGGACTCGCTGGCACAGCACACACTTTTCAGGGCAGGAGGAGGAGGGGGTGGGCTGTCGCTCAGATAGACAACCGTCCCTCCCAGGGCCACGCTAGGGATCAGCGCCTCAGGGCCCCGGCAGGGTCCGCTCAGACGGGATGGAGATGGGACCCCTGGCCATGCTGGGCCCCGTCCCACACCCCTCTTCTCCCTCCACAGCCCCTTAGCCGAAGGCGTCCTGCAGCTGACAGCTCCATGCAACGCTGCCTGCGCCTGCCACCCAGAGCACTACAACCCCGTGTGCGGCTCGGACGGGGTCCTCTACTACTCCCCCTGCTACGCCGGCTGCCTGGTCGAGGCTGCTGCAGACCCGGGCAGCCCGAAGGTCAGTGTGGGTGCAGCACGTGCCCGTTGTGCCCCCCCTGGACATGGGCAGGGCCCCCTGGCCCTTCCTCCTGTAATCAGCCTGTTGCTGGGCCCTCAGGTGTATCGAAACTGCAGCTGTGTCCCCCCAAGGCTGTTCTCTGGCCCCGGCCACGCCACCGCGGGGAAGTGCTCCTCAGCCTGCCCGAGGAGGCCCCTCCTCCTGGCTTTCATGTTCGTTGTAATTATCTTTACATTCCTCAGCAGCGTTCCCGCGCTGACCGCAACCTTACGGTAAGACCGGCTCGCTCGCCGCCAAACCTTCTCTTGCACACCACTAGGTTGGAGCTCGGCGGACCTGTGGGCACTGGGTCCTGCCCCAGGCATGCCTGCTCACGTCCGGCCGGTGGATCTGCGCACAGCCGGCTGACACAGCTGGCTGCCCACGTGGTGCTGGGTGCTAGCCTTGGCGGGAGGAAGGCAGCCAGGGGCGTGGCCAGGCTGGGCCAGCCTGGGTGAGAGGTGGCACGTGTGGTGCTGACCAGCCCTGTCTCCCCTGCAGGTGTGTGAGCGAACAGCAACGGTCCTTCGCCCTGGGCATCCAGTGGGTTGTTGTCCGGACTCTAGGTACTGTGGGGGACCAGGGTAGTCGGGCAGGGTGTGGACAGCGTGGGGGCTCCCTGAGTGTCCACTAGAGGGCCCTCCTCTCTGCCATTGAGTACACGCCACCTGACTCCCATGACGGTGTGGCGCTGCCCCTGTGGGCGTGAGCACTGTAGCTCTTTACGGGCCAGAAAAGCCTCGCTTTCCCCCTGGACAGTTCGGCCCCTGCCCTAGAATGGACTCCACAGCACCCCCACCCCAACATCACCCCCATGCCCCCAGCTGCCCCCCCAGCCCGCCTCCCATGCAAGCTAAGCCCCCCTCTCCGCAGGCAGCATCCCGGGGCCCATCGCCTTCGGCTGGGTGATTGACAAGGCCTGCTTGCTGTGGCAGAAGCAGTGTGGCACCCAGGGAGCCTGCTTCCTGTACCAGAATGCCGCCATGAGCCGCTATCTGCTCGCCACCGGCCTGCTGTACAAGGTGAGCGGGCAGAGGCCATGCAGGGTGCTGCTGGACATTGTGTGGGGTCCCAGCTGATCTAGGAAGTGGAGTTCTCCCCCTGCTGGCCCAAGTGATCACCCCTCCCAGGTGATCTGGGAAGCCGGGGTTCTCCTCTGCTGACATGGGTCTCCCCACACTAAGGGGATTTCAGGGTCCCCCTGCTGACCGGAGTGGTTGGATAGCTCCCCTTTCGGCTGCTCTGAGAAGTTGGGGTCTTCCTTTACTCTCCTTGCTTCTCCCCATATTGACTTGGGGTGCCCCCCGCCACACCTGGGAACCAGCATTCTTTCCTTGCTGAGCCTGGTCAGGTCCTCTGCTATGATTGGTGGAGTGGAGAGCTGGGTGCTTCCAGCTGTGGTCACACATGCCCAGGCTCACTTTCAGGAAGGGGCAGTTGAGGGGGCACAGGGAGGGCCCTGGGTGTGGGGAGAGGGCCACAGGGCAGCCTTAGGGGTCACTCCTGAGCTCAGCACTGACCTCACTTCCTGCTTAGCTAACAGGGGTGGGGGAGGCTGAGGTCAGCAGGGTGGCCCTCACCCCACCCCATCCCTGCCTCTCAGTACAAACCAGACCCCCCTCCCTGGGCTGCCTCCCCAGCCTCAGCCTCTGTCCTCCCGCAGCCTCACCCCTACGCTGTCCCACATCTCCCTCTTCTGAGTTCAGTCAGGACCCAGGGTGACCCCTGAGCTGGACCCTCCTTCCACGCACAGCCACATGCTCAGCTTGGGGTCGGGACACATCCTGGGAGCTGGGGTGCAGGGCAGGGGGGACCGTGGGCGAGGCCAGCCTGTGCGCTCTGGGGGGCAGGGGTCCTGGTCTGGGTTCAGACCCCTCCTCTTGCCACAGGTGCTGGGCTTCCTCTGCTTCCTGGCCGCCTGCTGCCTCTACAGACCCCCACCGGGGACTCCCGACGTCCTGGACACGTCTCTGCCCAGCCAGTCCTCGGCCTCTGACAGCCCCACAGACCCCCAAGACGACGCCTCCACCCGGCAGCTCCAGAGCAGCGTCTGAGGCCCACCCTGGCCCGACCTCTGCGGTCTCAGGGACGTCCTCCCCGGTGGGGGTGGGGGTGCCTGGCCCCGGCCTGGCCAGAGGCTCAACACCTCACACTGGTGGGGGGTCTGCAAGGCTGCCCAGAGCTTGAGCCAAGATGCCACTGAAGGGGCTGAACGAGGCCCGAGCCCCTGCCCTGGTGCCCTGGGTGGGCTCCAGCCCCCTGAGCACCCACTGTGCTTGGCAACTTCAGGCAGCGCGGGCACAGGGCTCTGCATGGTGTGGAGGGCACCCCCTCTCTTTTTAGCTGCTTTGAATTATGGGTGTCACCTATGTGACCTGGTGTCCCCTTGGAGGACTTAGAGAAGGACCCCGGTCTGCTCCTGGACTCTTCTGGGCAAGCCTTTACTGTGAAGGACAAGCCGGTGGCCCCCCGTGTGGGCAGGCGGCCACGCCACCAGCCTGCTCTGTGGTGATTCTTCGGATGCCATTTGAAGCCCCACTCCCCTGCACCCTGTGGGGGACCCCCCAGGCCTCCCACCCGATGCTATATGGACAGACTGCGTCCACCACGTGTCTGTCTGCAGCGGGGCGGGGCAGCAGCTATATTTATGAATTTTTGTTTTGCATTAAATGGTATTTATCAGAAGCATTTCTGTTCTGTCTCCCAGGCGTGCGCTGTGGGGTGGCTCGAGTCACTGTCAGGGTGGGGCCCTCGGGGTCAAATGTGGACCAGGTGTCCCTGAGGGTCCTGGCATCACAGGTGCAGATGTGAAGGTCTCCTCATACTTCAGCTCCATTCCCGGATGGTGCCCGGATCCTGTGTGTTTGCAAGCTCAGGGAAATGAGGGCCCCTTTGTGTCCACAGGCGACAGTGGGCGTCCGTGGGCGTACACTGAGTGCACGGGTGTGTTCACTGTGTGTGCACGTGTGGGGAAGCACCCTGGTACACGTGTGAGCGGTGCGTGTGTGTGCACGTGTGGGAAAGCACCTTGGTACACGTGTGAGCGCTGCGTGTGTGCGCGTGTGTGTGCTTGTGTGCGCCCTCTCAGTGGGGGGGGGTGTTCATTGTGTGTGTACACCTGTGTGTATTGATGCTCTGGGTACACATGTGTTGTGTGTCTTCTAGGTGGACACATGCCCCCCCCCTCCACCCACCCCCCGCCGGCGGGTTGAACCCAGGAGGGGAGACATGGCTTAGGTAGGGGACCAGGGACTACGAGCGTGTCCCCCAGAGGAAGGAAAACAGGGGTGCCACCTGCTTGCTCCTCAGTGGCCAGGTGGGCTCCGACCTGCCTGCAATGCATGCTGTCCCCCCTCTACCCCCACCACCACCAGCAGTCTGCACCAGTCCTCAGTGGCATGCAGCCCCGCTACCCCTCCTGGCCTGAGCCCCCTGCCCCTCAAGGCCCCCTCACCTCTGCACACCCTGATTCCCGACATGGTTAGGGTGAGGTGCCCCATGACCTCTTCCAGTCCGCTGGCCCACACCGGCCGCCGCCAGGACACTTCGGAGGACACATACTCTGTTTTGACCTCTCTGAAGGTCTCCAGGCTAGGGGACTGAGGCTCGGGGACAGTGTCCCTTGATGGACCTTCCTGGACCGAGCCTGGCATGGGGCCTGCACTTACAGCCTGGAGACACCAGGGGGCAGCACAGACTAGGCTGGGCTCAGACCTCCGGAAGGCAGAGCCACGCCTTAGCGGGCACGGGAGGGCTCTCACCCACCTCTTTCCCTCTGATGAAGGGTCTGATCGAGCCAGAGTGGGCAGCGCTCACCCCTACTATCTCCCTGCATCACCCACTGTGCACAGCCCCCAGTTACAGGGGAGAGAGCGGCGTGGGTTTTGTGGATTCTCCCTCCCCCAGAAGTCCCCCCACACCCTGCCGCAGCCTTCCAGCCCTCACCTGGCCTGTCCGTGCCTCGTTTCCCTGCAGCCGCGTGGGTCTGGTTTATTGATCGCGTCACTCCGCATGTGTGCACCAGGCTTCCCCCCAGACACTCCCAGGCTGGCGCCTCACCACCCAAGGTCGGGGGTCCCGGCCCCAAGGTCATGGTGGGTGGGGGTTGGAGATGAATGCCCAGGGGTGGGGAAGCATACCACCTGAAGATGGATGGGCATGGGACGAAGGTGTCTTCCTCAAAAAACTCACCCTGTGGGTGTGTGCTCCCATCTAGCTGTGCGTCCCCTAGTGGTGAAGGGTGGGGGGAGACGGGCCAGAGAGGGAGGGTGGGCAGCATAGTAGTTCCCTCTGTGGCCCAGGGGTCTGTGCCCTCCACACACTTTCTCCACCCCTCCTCCAGACCCTGGGCTGGCCCTGCACTCCCCAGGTACTCCCACCCTGCCTACCAATCCCCACCTCTGAGATCCCGGAGCAGAGCCAGCAGCTGCCATTTCCAGGACAGGCCTCTGGCCCACCCAGCCTGGCATGCTGCTCCAGCACCAACTAGACCTGGTGCAGTTCACCCTGGACTCGATGTGGGCAGCTCCGGGCAAAGGGAGGAGGCCAAGGGACACTGACCCAGGCAACACCTGCCATGCAACAAGCGGAGGGTGCAGCGCTGTGAGACACAGAGCTGGGGGGAGCGAGAGGGACGTGGGGGGAGAGGGCCGTCAGGTCATGTGACCCTGAGCAGCATCCTGAGAGCAGCAGACGGTGGACTAGGACCGGCCCCTGGGGGCGTGGGGCAATGTCCACAGTGCGCAGGTCTCTGCATAAGACTTGGCATCCACCCCAGCAGAACCGGAACAGACAGACAGACGCTGGTCCGAGGCAGGAGTAAATGCCCTGAAGGATGGGCGTGCTCTGACTTGCAGGAGCACACTGGCCCTCACCGGGGCTACCTGTTGGGTGCTGGGGGAGGAGCAGGCTCCACAGACACAGACAGGGGAGGGTGGCTGAGAGGCCTCCAGAGGGAGGTGTGTCTGCAGGGGGGGGTCACCCAGGCCAGACCCAAGACCCAGCAGGTGAGTGCTGGCCATGTGGGGCAGGACCCATGGCTAAGCTTCAGTTGGTCTCCCTGTGTGCCCACCCCAGGAGCAAGGGCACTGGGTGGGGTGGGCTCTCAGGAGGGTAAGGCAGGTGAAGGGGGGCAGGGCAGGTGGGCATTGGCAGGGTTAGGAGAGGGTCAAGGTGGGTGTATGCGGGCTGTGTGGGCGCTGTGCCCCCCATCGTGCCCCACTTCTGCTCCATTTAGCAGTTTGAGAAAACGGCCCAGGGACGCAGAGAGGAGGGGGAGGGAAGGAGGCCACCAGGGTGAGCACCCAGACTAGAGGACACTGAGCTCACAACCAGGCCTGAGGAGGACGCAGCACCGGCCAGATGGGTGGGGGGAGGGGGGCAGGACTGACCGGCCTCTCTCCCCATGGACAGAGCGGCTGCCACACTTGACTAATAAGATCCAGATGCTTCCCACAGTGCTTCCCTGAGGACCATGCCCTGCCTCCTGGCCACCAGCACGTGGCCCTCAGGCCCTGGGGTGCCCGGTGGTCGCCCCTCCTGCCTGGTCCTCAGTGGCCAGGCCTGCCTTCCTCAGACAGCCTGCCCCCTGGGTGCCAGACCCAGAGCCTGTGGGAGCAGGAGCAGAGAGATGCACTGGCGCAATCTAGAGACAGCAGCTGGCTCTGGCGTGGTCCCCAGGGCTGGTGACACAGCAGCTGTGTGACTCACGTGGCGCACAGTCCGGGCCCGGCCCAGAGCTGGGTCTGGACTGAGAACGGCCCTGCCTGGCAGGTGCCTGGTGTCCTGGGACCCATCTTCCTCCCGTGTCAGGTCCCCATCCACCAGGAGGTCTGGTCAGCCCTGAGCCCCCCCCCCCCAACACGCAAAAGCCTGTAGAAGGCCCCAGGGGCACCGAGCTGGGCAAACAGTGTCTAGGACGAGCCAGGCTGACTGACAGAGGGAAGGCTGGGGCCGGGGAGGAGGACCAGGCAGGGTCCCACACCTCTTGGCTTCCTGCTGAGAGGCGGCTTTCAGAGCTGTGGGAGTGAGAACCGTGAGAACCGTGGCGGAGAGGAGCGTGGAGAGCGGGGGATGTCCCTCCCCCAGTCTGGGCGGGGATGAAATGTTCTTTCCAAGCACCAGATGCCAGTGATGAAGCCCTGAGGTGCCCGCCGGCTGGCTTGGAGGGGCTGCACGGTCCTTGTCTGGCCCCCTGCTTGATTGAGAAGCCTGGGGCTCAGAGCACACGCAGCGCTCTCCAGGGACCCAGGGAGCAGGCAGACTGCTCCCATGGGCAAAGGGCGTGACCAGGACGGTGCAGGAGCACACGACAAGATGCGTGTGTCGGGGAGACCACAGTGAGGGGAGCCGCTTCACGCCCACTAGGACGGCTGTGCTGAGGAAGCGGTCGGTAAGAAGGATGGACGCGGCTGCTCACTGCTACGCACGGACAGCAGAGGTGCCTCTGGCAAACAGCCGGGTGGTCGCAGAGCCACACAGAGTGACATCTGACCCAGGGTCTCTCTGCTAGGTTGCCACCCGGGGAGTGCAGAGCAAACGTCCGTGCAAAACCTCGTGCGTGCACCGCCCTCTTCTTCATCGCGGCCCAAGGCGGAGAGGACCCCATGACTGTCGGCACGGGAGCAGATGATCCCATGGGGGTGCATCCGTGGGGCGAGCCCTGATGCCCTGGTGCACGCCACACACGGACGAGTCTTGGAAACAGGACTCCGGGAAGGAAGCCAGACACCAGAAGGATGGACCCTGTCAGATCCGTGCAAGTGGCTCGTCCACCACAGGGCAGTCTATGGGGCGAGAATGGGCTGAGTGGTTCCCAGGGCTGAGGAGGGGCTGTCAGCAGGGACAGGGCTTCCGTTTGGGTGGTGAGACTTCTGGAACGAATATGATGTAAACACAACCTTTCGCAGCTACGAAACGGCAGCCAGACACCTGGAGAGGGAGTGCGTGGCCTGTGAATGGTGTCTCAGCAGAACCGTTAAACAAACTCAACAAGCAACAGAAATCAAGTCAAAACGCTGGGCACGTGCCAGGAGCCCACACTGCCCTAGGTCCT